ATTCTACCTGCTGAAGTACGCATTGCAATCCAGACCATGAAGGCAGCCACGGTTCCGGGATCGGACTACGTTTCTGCCGACCTCTTACGAGCTGGAGGACATCGCCTGCACGAGATACTAGCAGAACTTCTATCGTCATGTCTTCAAAAGGCAAGGATTCCCGACAAGTGGAGAACCTCCCAAACTATCCTTTTTTTATAAGAAGGGCGAAGGGGAGGATCTTCAGAACTACCGTTCAATATGCTGCTGAGTGTCTTTTACAAACTCTTTACAAAGATTATTCTCTCTCGCATGTCAAGGACACTGGATGAAGTCCGATCTGTACAAGCTGTATTGCGCAAGAGATTCAGCTGCGTGTATCACATCCAAACAGGTTCGAGGATTATCGAGGTTGCCGAGAGTACCGCCTAAATTTCGTCCTAACCTTCATCGACTATGAGAAGCGTTTGACAGCCTCGAGATAACCATGCTGTCAGCGCTCTTCGATAGCATTTATCTAATCTTGAACAAGCCGATATAGTGGACGATGTTATGATTTTGTGTTGAGCCAAATACGCTTTCATATCTTTTTTATGAGTAAGTGGCTTTTGAGTGATTGTCTAAGCAATTTGAAGCATATTATAGTGAATCTTGAACACATAAGTCTTGCAGGAGCGATGACACCACAACTATATCGCCCATCTTGTAGCCGTTTAAAACGAATATTAAACCAAACAAGGATTGGTCCTTCGATTTGAGGTCGATACCAAGCTCGGCACTTGCTAGCATGTAAGAGGTGAGGCGATTCCGAAATTGCGCTTATGATCGGAACATACTCTTCTTACTGTCAATATTGCAACAAATATTAGCCAATCAGATTGCAATATTAATTTGCGAAGTTTGAGTGCAGCTAGAAGTAGTTATTGAAAGTTTGAGCCATGTTCATCACTGCCGGCTTAATTTTGATCTCTCAGTGTAGTAAAAGCAAAAGAGTAAACCCACAATTTTTCATAATTATGCCACCCGCTGGAAGCTGTTTGGCGAATTAGAATGAAAATGCTAAACGTTACTTGTGGCGGGCT